GGAAAACTATAACTTCTATAACGAAAAAATTTTCACGAAGACGACGCGGAAAGCCATTCGTTTTTAAGAACACAAAGTTATCGAAAATCGACGAATAATGAGAGACCACGAAACGTAAGGCCCTGTCTCCACAGGAAAACACTGATGTCGTGATTACCATGTCACAAAATATATTTCCAATGGAGACCGCCTATTTCTCATGTGCTGCAATATATGTCAGCGCTTATTGCTTGACATCTATTGCAGGCAATTCGATAGTTGGACAGCCATATTTTCATTTGAAAGAAAGCGTGCTGGTGGTAACATCGATGAAATTTTTATATTAAATCAAAATAAAAGTCTGTTCCTTATTGGATTATTTATGATTACGTTTTAGGAAATTATTCAGCAAGTTTTTTAAAGATTTAAATGTTTTTAAACACCGAAATTGAGAGAATGTTGGGGAACATTTTAGTAGACGGACGGCAAATTCTAGAAAAAAGGGTTATGAGGGGGGTTAGAATAGGACCCCCTGATTTCAAAAATACCCCTCCTTTTTTCTAGCAACCCTATAGTTCTTATATCATTTATTGTCAAAGTTTTCATATAAACGATGAGCAAGATAGCAGAATAAATTACAACTTGGTGCTACCAGACTGGAATTTTGAATAATAAAAGGGGATTTTTAATTCGGAATTTTAACTTAGTAGAATTCTCCGTTCTGTTTTGCGAAGAAAAGGAGCTGAACACCGTTTGCAGAACACCTTTCTGCGTAGGCGGCCTTCGGCCGCACTTAGGGCTTATAACCCTCAGACAGTAGAATTCTCCTATGTTTTGCGAAGAAAAGGAGCTGAACACCGTTTGCAGAACACCTTTCTGCGTAGGCGGCCGTTGGTAGGCCTTAGGGCTTATAACCCTCAGACAGTAGAATTCTCCTATGTTTTGCGAAGAAAAGGAGCTGAACACCGTTTGCAGAGAACACTTTTCTGCGTAGGCGGACTACGGCCGCACTTAGGGATTATAACTCTTAGGCAGTAGAATTCTCCTTTCTGTTTTGCGAAGAAAAGGAGCTGAACACCTTTTGCAGAGAACACCTTTCTGCGTAGGCGGCCTTCGACCGAACTTAAAGCAAACAAATAGGGCGGGACCAACACCGCCTACGTCATGGGCAATATTTTTGCGCAGGGGTTCGTGACCGGAACCCCTCATTGATAATAATACACGCCCAGAATAAAAGTAGCGGTAAATTTTCATTTTCTTTTGTATTCCTTTTTAAACATTGCCTTCTTTGTATGTATTGTTTTGTACAATATGGCAACACATGTTATGTGTCAGTTTGCAACCATGTGTTATTGTAAATATGCGTGAAATTCAATGTAATTTACAAGTCGATAAAAGTTTAATTAAAGTGATTTATATACAAGATAAAATAAAAGAAAAGTGTGTAAAGTATTAAGTACAGTGTTATGTGCATTTATATATATGAAAGTATGTGACAAATGCAGTTTTTGTTAAGGACCCCAAGTGGAACGACTTAAACAATTTTAACAACAAATAACTTATAAAAAATGATATTGTTTATATTTTTTAGTTATACATGTTTTAGAGGATACCTCCCTTAACATCCTGACCAAGTTTCATTTGTTAATTCCACCTGGTTTTCTTAAAACACAAGGTGCGGCTGACTACTAAAGCCCACCCGAATGTTGTCTGGTGGCGTCCTGCGGCAAATGCTTATTTCAAGACATCCAAGTGCCCACACACAAAAACTTGCAATCACATTGCTCGTCAAAATGACAGTTGGTAGGCCATCGGTGTTTGCCTGTGGAGTTCTGCGGTAAGGAGCATAGGTTAAGACCGGAATTCACTACACAATTTGCTTGGCGAACCAAACTAAATATCCATTTATTAAAGTGTTCGGCATACATCAAGATAACCAACCGTTCAGCTACAGAAAAACTAAAAATGCAGATCGCTAGTACTTTTTACTCTGATTTCAACTATATATGTAAATATTATTTGCCACAATTAAAAATTAAAGCGGATATAAAAGGTTAAACAAAAAAACTGATATTTTAAAATATTAATATTTTCTAAACTGCGTAACCGATTCAAAAGATAATGGTGTCAAAATAAAGGTAATTAATTTATCTTCAAGCTGATTTATGAAATGTGTATGCTGGTTTATATATTTAAGCCAAAATATTAAAAAACAAATAAAATGTTATAATTTTTTATTAATTAACATAATAATTTTTTAGAAAAAAGTGCATAATAAATGCTAGACATATATATTATTTAGAGAGTGCAAGTTCTTACCTTTACTTTGATATACATATTTTTTTATGATCTGCTTTTGAGGTTTAAGAATTCAGGGATAATACAAAATGTAAATCGTCGATGTTTTTGCAAAACCGCCTAAATCGCCGTTGTTGCAAAAAAGAGATTTGGTAACCTTGCACTCCAGGCACCGAGATTTATGCATAAAAATTGTTAAATCGTTATTAAAACAACAGATTCGTAAAATAATAGCTAGAGAAAATACTGCCTATCAAGGCAATGCCTTCAAAGAATAAATCGTTTTTTCGATCTCCTTTAAAATTTGAGTGCCGTAAGATAGGCGGCTTTGCAATTGGGCGATGGGCGGTATTGCAAAAACTTCGACGAAATGCATTTACAAGCAAGTGCCAACCTTACACCTTCACACAATTAAAGGCCCTTCTCTGGTAACACAGAAAGGAGAATTCTACTTAGTGAGGGTTATAATCCCTAAGAGCAGCCGAAGGCCGCCAACGCAGAAGGTGTTCTGTGCAAAAGGTGTTGCGCCCCTCTTCTTCGGAAACACAAAAAGGAAACTTCTACTTAGTGAGTGTTTAGGCCTCCACGCTAAATCAAATACTAATAAATTAAATTATCGGGTGTACCACCGTAATGTTAATTTAACAGATGCACACACATACACATTCGTATGTTAAACAAGACAAAAAGAAAAACTGCACTTTTCCTGTCAGTGCACTTTCTTTAAATTTCCCTGAAAACGGAACTCTTCAAACCGTTTAGAGGGTTCGACTTCAGTTTCAAACTTTTTAAACATTCTATTGGATTTCAATCACCAGCAATTACGGACGTTCCGCCACCACACCACTTCATAATCAAGGTAATATTGTAAGCCCCCTTGAATTTTAATATACCTATTAAATAAACCGCCAAACTTAATTGTATTTCAAACTAAAACCTGGTGCTTTTGTTTTCTTATTTTTTCAATAAAAAACACTGGTGCACTTATCGAGTCTATACCCATTAAGTCGCCAGGGTTTTTCATGGTCCTTCGAGCCGGAAACCGGCCCCCTTGCTATAAGCAACGTCTCAAAGATGATTCAGCCACCACACCTAACTTTGTGAATTCTGCCGCAGATTGGTCCTTGCCCGGGGATCTAGTCCGAACGTTCTCCGGTCCTCCTTGCAGCCTCTAGCTACGGGGCAAAATGGAAGAAAAAGCTAATAAGGAAAAAAGGTGTGGTTGATCATTTCATTGCACTTTTATTTAAACTCGGTATGTATTCATGAATACTAAATATAAAATTTTAACTGTTTTGTCACATTTGGTGAGCTCCTGATATAATCAGCCCGAACATGGAAGCTTGCGCCAGTAAACCGCCGATCGTTGTTGGCGGAGTGCCACATACCATGACCTGGGCGTACACATCAGCGCCAAGTGTTAGTCGAGTGGGGGTGGCCCGATAGAACTGTGGATCCGCCAGACGCATAAATTGAAACGGCGTCGCTATCGTTGGGTCGATGTTAGCCGCGGGGCTGAGTCGGTTGTATCGCGTAACTAGCCTGGCCTGAGTATTTACCCGTTCCGCGACCCCGTACTTTCCTCGCAGCACGAGGGAACATGTTTTCGCGCGGGCGTTGCTGGCTTCGAGCTGAAGCTCCCGTGCTAGGTCCCTGTCGATGGTACTGCTGGGGGCGCAAGAGTCAATCAACGCCCGCACCAGATGAAGTCGGCCGCCTGACTCGATCCGTACAATTGCGGTTGGGGCGATGGCTACGAATGAGCGCATTATTGGTGCTGGAACCGCGATTGTTTTTAACTTGCCTGTCCGGAATCCACCCGTTGGAATGCGTTGGATGGTGAGGGAGGAACGGTCGCCACGTCGGTGTCGTGCGGCCCTTATTGCTTGCCAGCGCGACGAGCGAAAAGGACGAGTTTCCGCGCCATCACGCTGGCTGCAATTACGCTTGCGCCAAAATGAGCGAAAAGGACGAGTTTCCGCGTCATCTCGGTGGCCAGAATTGGTTCCGCGCCGATATGAGCGAAAAGGACTAGTTTCCGCGTCATCTCGTTGACCGCCCGTTGGCTGTGTGTGTGTCAGCACTGCTGGCATGGGACTGTCTGCTTCAAGTTCGTGCTGTAGCGGCGGTCGAAAATTGCGGGTTTTCAAGCCGCCGTCTGGTGGTGAAGGGATTATCTCTTCCCGTCTTTTCACCTCTTCTTCCTCTACCTGCTTCGCCCATGACGTCGTTTAGTCGGAAACGTGGAGCGAAATCGCTCCGTCAGAGCCGTCGTCGTTATCGGGGTGATTTTCCGTCGTTTCCCTTGGATCGCCGTAGTCTTCAATATGCAGGGAGGTATGGTGCTTTTCGTCGCAGCGGTGGCATCGGTCATTGCTTCCACATATTTCTATCCGATGGAATGGCGACAAACAGTTGGGACAGTACCGATGTATCAAAATCGCCCGCAACCTTTCCTCGGCGGATTTCCCTCGGTATATGGGGCAGAGTCGTACTCCGTGGTTGTTACCGCACAACCGACAGGGAATCTTAAAATGATCGACCCGTTTCTCGGTCTTAGTGCGGGTGGCCATGAAGCGAGGCATTCTGTAAAGTTAAACTTTTTATGGCCGTATGCACAATTATGGTGCATTGTGTATTTTAAACCTTAGCTGGGTGGCAAGTTATACATATATACATACGCATATTTAATTGCTAATATGATTTACATTTCTTTTACTATTTTTATTTTATTTTATTATTATTATTATTTTTATTTTTTGAGGACTAATTCCATGCCCTGCAGTGTATAGTGGCTGAATAGTAATTCGCTTATCTCGTACAATAGGTGAGAGAATGGCTATGGTGTTTTTACCTTGGCCTCCCACCCGAAAGAATAAACAATTTCATTATTTGTTCGCATGGTGCGGAACTTCCCTGAATCGGTTCAACACAAATGCTTGTGAATGTGCTTGGTAGTATCACAACTTAATGATTTATTTTGATATTACTAAGTTGGAGGTCACTTCAAAATTCATTAACTCATGATTTTATTAAAAGGAAATGCATATTTAATAAGCTCTGCTTTGTCCCGAGCAGATCTAAGTCGTTCGCCGGTATCGAGTTGCGTAGTAGATTTTCAGTTGACCGATCGTAGGGCATCCTAACCCTGGCTGCGCTGTCAACCAAGAGCGTAAACTAAAATTTACGTTCTTATATTAGAGATGTGATGAGTCGACACATATGAGTATTCATAGCTACTCGGTACCGATTTAAAAGTATCCAATACTTTCGACACTGTGACAGACTATTAAACAACTTCTAACAAGAGCGAACGGCAGCCAACGTATGGAAGAATTTTTAGAGGTAAAGCTCATTAGCGAACTTTGAGGCGGTATCGTACAAACTGCATTGAAATAAATAAGTCAGTATATATATGCATATATATATATTTTTATTTTTTTTTTTTTTTCATTTATTTTTGTTAAGAAGCTATGTACGGGACTCTTTGGCTGCGTTTCTTTATACATTCCGGATAATCCTATTTCACAGCCGGAATAAACAGAATGCGTTTGAAATATACGTCAACATATCATCAGGAACGCTCTAAGGAATAAATAAACAAAATAGTTTATTCCAAACATTCAGAATGAATAAAGAAATGCAGCCTTTGTGAAACAAAAATTAGATTAAAGAGAGCCAGTAGTTGTCAAAACTTTAGTAAAGTGGTCAAAGTTTCGTTTTTATGTGAACCCTTATTATTCTTTCGTTCTTTCGAAAAACCGGATGGGCCCGAAATTGTGCAACAAGTGACTGAAGTGAGTTTCTATTGCCATGGTAAAGTGCATTGAATAGGTATCGGTTACCACACCGAAACTTTAGGTACCGAGTATTCTGGCAATTATGCACATCACTATTTTTTAAATTGACACTTTCATTGATGTCAATCGCAGCACATATACGAATTTCCTCAATGGCAGCGAGTGGGTACAATGCGGTAAGTTGAGTATTTTTGCTTGTATTATTTTAATTTGATGTTTTTTTTTCTTCTACTTTCAGCTTCCTTTGGAGATATTCCACCCAACACCTACATTCATCCAAGTACGGTATGTTTACAACTCGCAACCGAGTTCGCCTGAAGGATGAATGAGGAATTCTAGTATGCAGAATGGAAAGTGCCTGGCCCTTGGGAATTCTCATATGCAGGCGATACTCGCAACACCAATTCCTCTCGGAAAAAGCCAAACAGTATTGACGTATGTGAAATATGCATTAATATAATATGAAGCTTTTATTTAAACCATATTGTTTTACTAATATCTTTTCGTTTCCATTTCAGATTACCCTCGTTTAAGCGGGCCACACAGGTGACATGGGGTGTTTGCTTAGAAAATAGAAAATGCTGAAAGGAGAAATCTACAAACAGGTGTGAAGAAGTGGTTACTACTGTTATCATAGCTAAGGTGGCGAGCGGCACTTCGTATATATCAGTGACTGATATTTAGACGACTATGTTGACCTCTCACATATGTTCCATAATATATATAGCATTGGAATAATAATGCTAGAGGATTTACGTGAGAAAAGCATATTTTCGCCAAATTTGAAAACAGCATTTGCTCCACGGGCCGAAAGTTCACATTAGCAGCTATCCCACCCATCGCCTGGCAATTGTGGCGATCGTGTAATGAAAACAGAATCTAAAATCTTTATATTGCTCCAACAACTCATTTCCCGGAACATCGTGAGTACTTTACCCTTCTTTATTATTATGACAAAAGTCCATAAACATCCCTTGCTGTGATATGTAGGAGAGCGCTGCATGAATGCATTCAAAACGGCGTATGAATTATTCATGTACAAAACGAATGCATGATTTTGGCTTCAAATTTTTTTTTAATTTTGAGCGAATAGCTGTTCAGATATATGTGTCGACATAACAATATTTGAACAAAGTGAAAATAAATTGAATTGATATAAATGTCAATTTTTTTGTATGAATATCCAAAAATATTTTTTATTCGCACATATGTACAAACATACATATGTATGTATGTATGTATTGCTGCGCTCCTATTACATACGAAAAAAATTGTTTGTAGAAAAAAAACCTTTGCCGAACTGAGTTTGAACGATTTAAATGTTTTCCATTCATTAGTCACATTCTTCCATTTAAAGGTAGAAAATTTAAAAACAAAATGTATATTCATTACTTACAAAATTCCAAACGCTGAGTGTTTTGTATGTGAAGTAAAATATTCAAATCTACTGCACTCTAGAAGTTTGTATGAATTCGTGCAGCCCATATACATATTAAGGGTACTCATTTAAAAGCGCAAACTGGGCAAACTGTGCAATTTAAAACCCTCGCAAATGAAATGTCGCAATTTGTATGGAAAGCTATTTGCACAAAAGGGGCAAGTTTGCGTGGAAACTTTGTCGCGCAAATTTGCGCAGTGTGATGTGCAACCCTCAATCAACTATTTTGCTCAATTTCATTTTGATTTGTGCTCAACGTTTTTTCGTAAGACTTAAATATTTTCTTTTTCTAATTATTTGTAAATTTTTTTTTGAGTACAACACATCGTTTCTTGGTGCTGAATCCAAATCTGGCCTCACATTTGCTCTAGCACTAGAATAATTTGAGAAACATTTGAGGTTATATAATGAAAACATCAAATTATTTGCTCATTTCTAATCAGGGCATCATTTTCGTTTGATGCGATTCGATTTTTCTTTCTCGAGATATACCAGTTTTAATGTGCAGTACTTCGGCATTATGTTATGAAAAAAGTATCCCTTGATTCAAAAAAAATTTGGTGCTTTTAGTGTGGTAAAACGCTTTCTTTCCAAGTTTTTGGTGCTTTTTGAAAATGAAAAGATGGCAACAGTGCATATGTCTATATATTTTGTTGAGTAGGCATTGGTACCATATATTTCTATTGGGGCCATAAATTAGTTCTAATGTCTTCGAAGCTTCGAGATTCGAATTTGAGTCGAATTTTAGCTCCAAACTGGCGAATTGAAGTGAAGTTCGTACAAACTCTCTTGCTCTTGTGGAGCACGAAAAATAAAGTACATTATACTTCTCAAAAGATTAGTTTCCATATACATTTTTTTTTTTTTTTAATTTTTAATTTATGCAACGAAAATACATATAAATTTTTGGATTTTTCGCTGATATATTTCGAGAAAGAAATACTTGTTATTTGTTTTTACTTTTGGTTGTGAAGATAGGCTGCGGATAATTAATCACTTCAGTGTAAGTTCAATTGCTGGTCTCTTTTTCGATTTGAACTATCATTACAGACAAACTGTAAAATTTTTCAGTAACAGGTTGTTGAAAATTTGAAAAAATACAAATTAAATCGAATTTGTATCACCATTTATCGAATCGAATAATCGAATGGTTGGGTAATATTCGACACTCGGAAGAAATCGAATTGCAACCCCCCCTCCCCATCCCTAATGCTAATGCTCGTATGATACTACGTTTTTTTCTTGTATTTCGAGTGTATTTTACGCTGTATTTTGAAAGAAGAGGAAGGTCACATACAATTTCAGTACTTGTGTAAGCGAGTAAGCTATATACCAAAAAACAAACGAAAAACAAACTAGGTTGTTAAAAACAGTCCGGCCAACTTGTATTTCGTTAGGTTTTTTTGACAGATGGCTGTATTACGTTAGTTTTTTTTACACAGCTGTTTGCATTTTGACATACGAGAGATTTTCTAAGCATACAATGGAAA